ACAGTGAAATCGATGCTGATATCGATTGTGAGTTCGAGTGTCATATCGATTGTGAGACCGATAGTGATATCGATGGTGGGATCGACTGTGGGATCCATAATGAGACCGATCGTGAGAACTGTTGCGAGATCGCCAGTGCGTCCGAATGTGAACTCGATCGTGGGTTCGAGTGTCAGACCGATGATGAGATCGAGCGGGATATTGATCGTGAGACCTGTCGTGAGATCGATCGTGCGATCGCTCGTGAGATCGATAGTCACTTTAACTGTCAAATCGATTGTGAGATCGTTCGTGGGGTCGTTTGTGAGATCGAGAGAGAGAGAGAGAGAGAAAGAGAGAGAAAGAGAGAGAGAGAGAGAGAGAGAAAGAAAGCTTGGTTTGGAGATCAATCGCGGGATCTGCTGTGAGATCTGTTTGTGAGATCGATCGAAGGAGACGTCGGTTCCCCCATCCCTCCCCGAACCTCCATATCACCCATTTTTCCCCCGCAGCCTGAGTGCGCGCAGCGCGCGCGTCCAGCTCCTGCGCCGCGGCGCGCGCGGCAGCCCTGTTGGCCGCCTCTGGAGCCGCCGCAAACGGCGGCAACTCGACAGGGCAGAGCGGCGGCGACGCAGCAGGCGTCGCGGGCGGAGCTCAGAAGGAGTGGAGCCCGCCGCGACGCCATCACGTGAGCGACCTCCCCGAAGGAGCCACTCCTCTCATGATCTTCTCTGCCTTCCTTCTGCGCTCAGCCTGGGCGCTGGGCTTGAGCGCTGGGGCACAGGCCGTGCCAAGCCCCCTGTGCTTGCCCTTCACCTCCTTCGCGTGGGCGTAGCACTTCAGGCAAACGCGGTGCCCGAAGTGCGCGCGTAGGTCGCGGCCGCCGCCGTCCGCGTCGAGCGAGCCAGAGCCGCTGGGCAGCGGCGCAGCAGGCTGGGCCTCGGCGCCCCCGTCGCCTGCCGTCGGCGGCTCCTCGTCAGCACGCAGGTCACCGTCACCGACGGATCTCGGAATCTGTCTTTCGCCACGATGCTGAACGAAGGAGAAGCTCGCCACGCTGTTGCTCGCCTCACCGCTGGCATGGGTGGGCTGGCTCTCGTCCTCCACGAAGCGGCGGGCTGCTGCGACCGCCACCGCGGCGGCTCCAGCGTGCGCCAGGGCCGAGGCGCTCGGCCGCTTCTTGCCTCCGCTGGTGTAGGCGTCGGGAGCGAAGGCCTTCGGCGTGCAGTCCAGCGTTGCGAGGTTCTTGGCCGAGATGTCAGTGAAGGCCGACCGCAGGCACCGCAGGCAGTGGAGCGCCTTGGCGCCCTCGACTCCGCCCTCGATCTTGACCAGCTCGTGCTTGGTGACGTAGAGCCTGGGGCCCTTGGAAGGAGGCTCCCTGTACTTGTCGCGAAAGTCGATCCTGAGATCAGCAGCTTCGGCGCCGGCTTGCGAAACCCAGAAGACCGCGCCGTCCAAGGTGAGCGCTCTCGTCTTCCTGGCCTCGCGCGCCTGCTCTGGTGCTCTGAACTGGTCCGTGACAAGCTTCGCCACTCGGTCAGCTTCGTGGTTGCCACGCCGACGTCGGGGTGTGATCTTGCCCTCGTCCACCTCCTTAAAAGTCGCGTGGCCCTTGACCTTCAGCGCCGTGAGGCCGTCGCTGCTGAGGTCGCCGAAGTCGTCTAGCGCGTGCCAAATACTGCGCCAGATCTCGCCCCAGGCGGACTTGTGCGAGGTAGTGGCCTCGCGTCCTCTCTCCAGCAACCCTTTGACCACGAAGTCGGCGTCAAAGTGGGCCGTGATGGGAGGAAGCGGGTGCCTGAGGATCGCGTAGAGCGCGAGCAGCTCTGCGCCTTCGATTGACTGGATTGGCCCAGGCACAGGGGCGCCCATGGCCTTGACGCAAGAACCCTTGCCTGGATATTCTCCTTCTGGCCCAGGCGGCAGCTCGACTACTGCGCATCCTGCCATAGCCAGCGAAGTGCCAGCCTCATAGCAGCAGCCGTCGGCAAACAGCTCGGTGTTGATGAACGGGTCGGCGTCTCCTTTGAGCCAACGCAGCCCCTGGAGCAGGTCATCCTGCGGGGGGCGCCAGTCGTGGCTGGGCTCGGGCAGCAGGAGCCGCTCGAACAGAGTCTTGATCGTGATGCTGGACTCGAACTGCTTGAACTTCTCCAACTCCTCAGGCAGCTCGAAACTGGGCCAGCTGTCGCAGCACTCCAGGTGGCGGTGCCGCAGGGTGCCCAGGGAGCGCGGGTGCAGCGCGCAGTGCGGCGTGGGGGCGAGCCGCGGCGCTGCCACATACCTTCGCTTGTTGAGTCACTGACCGTGGACTAGCAGCGACCTCGCGTAGCCCCTCTGCTTGTCGTCCAGGGGCTTCCACTTGCGGCCCTCGAAGGTGGAGGCTTTGCCTGCGCTGAGCCACCTGCGCACCTGTGGGACGAATGCGCCGTTGATGATGCCCTCGTGCGTGTCAGCCGCTAGCTGTCGTAGCTGCCAGGCCTTCACGTCCTTGCGCAACACCTGCTTGATGTACCAT